ATAAGTCAGGATAATCCACTTAAGAACCTGAAACTTTGATTTCATTCTAAGATTACATTGTAAAATATGATAACAACCAATGGTATAAAATATTGTACATGAATATTTTATAACCTAACCTGCGTAAAATAATAAATATAGTAACTGATATTGATGATCAATGAGTTGACAGGGAAAAAGTTACACAAAGTTGACGTTATCTTAATTTATCTACAGTCTAGAATTGTTTTTATATACTAATTGAGACTACATTATTTTTTTGAAAAAGGAAACTATCGATGAAGTGACTGACAATCACTTTAGATAATCATAGAAAGTGAATTTTTGTATATATACGCGTAAATAAGTTATCAAAGAGACTGAGTAAAAGTTTATTTTCCTATAATCAGCTGTATAAATGATAGGAACTTCAGACTGTAGGAAAAAACCCCGAGGCATATCTGATACTTAGTGGAAAAAAGTAACAAATCTGGAGAAGCAAAATTTTCAGGTAAGATATTTCTCTTTCAACTAATTAGACTAGAACTAGAAGAACAAGAAATGTTCTGTTTAAGTTATTTGAATTTAATTTATACCAAAAAAGTTTGATTGAAAATTTACCCCTTAAATAGCTTAACAAGAACTATTCACCGAAGAGAGTATATAAGTTTTCATTCCTAATGAGTAAGTTGAAACGCCAAGTTACAGTAAAGATGTGTAACTGTAAAAGAGAATATAACCTGTAAAACTTGACAAAGTTTGAATACACTAAAGAGGTAAGTGACAATGAAACCAACAAATGACTCAGCTGGAGAGAAGTTTTGGCTAAGAATTAATTGAAATGAATATGCTGGACTTCCATTCAAAGTTTTTGATCTAAAAGTTAAGCTGATTCACTAGACAGAATACCAAATAATGGCTGTACTGAGCTGTACACTGAACAAATATGAGAATTGTGAACTATTAGATTTTAATTTCATTGCTGAAAAGTATCGCGGTGCCTATTTGACCTGAAAGTTTTAAGGTTAAATTCTATAGATATGAGCCAGCTAATTAGCTCTAAATTAGCTTCCATTTACGCAAACTGTAATAAGAAAAGAGATAACAGAGCTAACCGATAAAATGGAAAACGATTTCCAATGAAAAAGTTTCATATTATTTAGTCAAGATAATGATTGTAGATTGTAGAAAGTAGAAAGATTTATTCAGTAACTAGCATATCAGTAACAACAACAAGAAACATCTCCCACTAAATAAATTTAACCTAGGAACAGATACGGTGGCTGTACATTAGAAAAATACTAGAAGATCAATCCATAAGAAATTTATGTGCAGTTTCTACAAAACTTAGAAAAGTACTACGTTATATTTATTCCAGTAAAGCCAATTTGTATTGTCAAAAAGGTAGTGAGTAAGCGCAAAATAAAATATTCAGAGAAATTTCCATACTTTATGGCTAATGATAAATTGTTCTGTATATGATATGGTAAGGAAAAAGTGAGCCTGATTGTAAGGCCTCAAATTCACTGTTTGGTAAATGATCTGCAAAATTTGAATCTAATAATCATTTACGTTTCAAATGAATTTATTTTGCGTAAAACAGTATGACATAAGTATGCAATCCTGTTATCTAAGGTAACGCATATCTTCAGAAATATCAAGATCTGATCTTAGTTAGACATTTATTGAAAACCAAGAAGTACTGGGTAGTTATTTTGTTCTAGAATAAAACCTGAAGGTCTGAGGATCCATCCCCGGTGAAGTTGTGTATGTGCACTGCTGAGTAGTTCCATGCAATGATCTGGACAAAGTTTTATACTAATAACTCATATTTACTTGACCATTTATTTTTTTCTGACGTTCGTTCACTGTTGATAGAACATCAATAATATCTATGTAGGCCCTTGTAAGTATTAGCCAACCAATGTTTTAAATTTATTTACTGAATAACAGTTAAATCATATTCTGAATATCATCATTCATATATGATTTTCATTGGGTAGAAGTTTATAATTTCGCTGTCTAAAGTTCAAACTCAATGTTTAGACGAAAGCAACATATTTCATCTTAAAAGAATTGAGTGAAGAAAAGATTTACAACCCTTTGGAATAAAATGAATTACATCATATGAGAATATTATTAAGAATTCTATATTTCAAAAACATTTGTAAACTCATACATGTGTAACATATTGTTGTCTAAAATTAATTCTAACGAAGCTATTCCCTCCTCAACTAGTAGGGCTAACGGATGAAACATATCAACAAAAACACTTACACTCAACTATGCTAATATTTACATTTGTTACTCACTTTCATCGGGTTAAATAAGTAACTAAGGCAGAACAAGTTCTAAGTAAATATGATCTGACATTTTATTATAATCAATTTTATTTCAGTTTGTTTGTAGAAGATCACTTTTGAGCTTTTTAGTAGTTACAAGATTTGGTGCAATATTCAAAGATTTTGTGAAAACTTCGATATTAGGATTTAACAATGCCGGTACAGTTCGAAAATGAGCATGGAGGAAGTGACAGCTTGGAGAAGATTTCCATTATATAACAAAATTAAATAAGTTAATGTAAAGATGAAGATAGTGAATGACTTTAAACAAAAAAAATTACAAAATGATTTGAAAATATTAGAATTTTTTTAAAATCACTCACAATCTTTAAGTTACACTGTGATGTGTGCTACTGATGTCGACAGATATAAGTAAGATGTATCATCAGTAGAAAGTGAAATGCCTAGAGACAGAAGATTGAGAAGATCGAAGAAAAGAGAACGAGAATAGAGAATGATTGGTGTGGAAACGAATGAACAATGAAGTCTGAGACAGTTGACTGATATTTTGCAAATAAAGTATTTAGTATATGGTTCTCAGATTTTACTAAGACGTTCTGTGATTTTGTGTTCAAATACATTCGATTGTTTTCACTTGCGTTCTCGTTCACTAAAATACAACTTTATTTTAACATATATTTTCTTGCAAAATGATTTATGTAGGTTGTAGTCAGCTTCCTATTTATTTAAAACTTATTTCAAAATGCTGATAGCCAGAAATGAAATGGCACTAGTTAAATTATAGATCACTTTTGACGATCGTTATTTACCTAACATTGTTTCAATTATCATATCAATAGGAAAACATTAAACTGTCCCCATTTTCTACACAAATAAACTACTGACTGTTTACAAGTCGTGTTAAATATTTGTGGAAATAAACACTATGTACAATGTTGACTGTAAAGCAGACAAAGTTTCTGCCAGTTTTCTCTACTTTTGACTTCTCCGATAAATTGATTAAGTCACAATTTAATTTATGATTTTTCAACCTTTAATACTTCATTTATGAAGTAGTTTTATCAACATTTTCTTACTTAGCAATAGTTATGTTGAACAATACCATTCATCAGTCAGTCAGCCAGCTACAACGTAGGACCGGGCACATATATGTATCGGTCCAAGTTGCCACACCTCATTAGTACAACGAGATGAACAACAGATTCACAGAAGTAATTGCTTCAATGGTAGTAATATATAGAAGAAAGATTGTATATACGGATATCATTCATAGAAAGCTCCAGTTTCCATTTTAATAATCACCTTGAACCTTTGATTCTTCTAAGAATAACTGGATATATAGTTGAAATCACAAGTCAATTGAAGTTAGACCAACTGTATATCTTAGAATAATCACTTTATACACATTATTGTTATTCTGCTTGGTAAAAATATGGCTATAAGCATTTCTTAATTTTGACCAACTATCGTTATTTTATAACTATTCCACAATATGATCACGAATGTCAAACATCATTTCGTCTAATCGAATTATCGCATTACACTATGACCTTCTCTCTCAACCTTCATAAAAGTCATTAACAGTCAGATATATTAAAAAATGTAAATACTGAACTAATTTTAAAAATAATTTGATGTCACTAACTGATATTGATGAGATATTTCTGAGATTTCCATCAACTTACTACGTATTTTAACTAAACTTTAGTCAAACCTAATACCTTCTTAGTTTGTTTTATTCAAATTATTATTCAGATATAATTTAAATTGACTTATGAACAGATAAGAACTAGATAAAAGACGCGAAATAAATGAAAAGTGTGCAAAGTCAATGAGTGATTGAACATATTCTAAGGATAAAACACTCCTCATTCATTCATAGATAATATGAAGTTTACTTGTTTATTTATTCATTTGTTTAATTTTATCTATATTTTTAACGGTCGCTCAGTTAGTTTGTTAGTTGGATATATATGCATCAAACACATTTAGATTTAACTTATTAAAATAAAACAAAGTCCAATAGAATATTGAAAAGAGATTAGTGTTGACATTTGCTTTGGAAATTACGCATTATTTCTTCACTTTTTTATCAGTTCATTTTTCTAGTCCATTTGGTGTGTGTTCCATTTTGTATCTAAGCATATGTCGTCTTTGTTTATTTGTATAAACAGTTACAAAGAATAAACAAAATATCGATAAATGAGGACATTAAGGGTGAGTAGACTAAGCTACACTTCAATGTTTAAAGCAGAAAATATTCCGGAAAAATGTTAGTAGATTCAATTATACAATTAATGTTTACATTAGACAACATAAAAGTCACATATCATGCCATAAAGGTGGTCCATTTAGTATTAATTCACTGAATATCAACCAACTTTAATGTGTATATAAGTTATTTATACCGGTGGGTTATCGAAACAAATGTACACTGGATGGTTTTGAGTAAATTCTGATTTAAATACTTCAGAAGTATTATCTTTAATGAAACTGCAAGTTTAGACTGAATTTTATAGTATATAACTACATTAGAGTAATCAATATGGGTTAAAAGTGATTTTTCACTACTATTTTTTTTTTTAAAATACACCTATGTAGCTAAAAACCAATCCAACCATCCATACTGGATTCAGTAAAGAGTCATGAATCTTATGAAATGAAGGCAGATAATAATATGAGAATAAAATCATAGAGTATGCAAACTGTCTAACTTACTTCAAGCGGGAAATTGATTCCTGTTGAAAATCTACATGGCTGTAGATTGATTTCGTTGTTATCTTATCATATAAAAATAAAAAGTTATCTGAATAGTGATAAAAATTTAAAATTAAATCAACAGCTGAAATTATATTACTTACAAATGCAGTCTACAGTAGTGTAGTTGGCTAAGTGTATGACACATATAACTACTTTTAAGTATTTTTGATAGAATGAAGTGATTTTATTTAGTTTATATCTCAGAAAGCAACTAGATGGGATGTTTATGACTATTGTGCTTGACTTTCAGCATTTTTACCCACCCCTGCCTGTGTTTAACATATAAATGAAAAACCACTCATTATATATTAACTGAAGCGTCTCTTCACACTGTAGTGGATTCCACCCAATACTTAGAGCAAATACGTTACAAAAAGTTAAAATGAGATTAAAGCTAATTCCTGTAGGAAAGTATTGATCATACTTTGGTTACTACTGTTAATTTTACCAATTATTACTTTCCAACTAGAGTACCGGTCACCCATAGCTCATTTCAAATATCTTATCTAGACCTGTTTATTATGTTTGGTATAAATAGACACTAAGAAATCAGTAAAAGAAAAATATCAATTCTGTGAATATATACCACGAAGGAAATCATAATCAATAAACAAATAGCCAAAAACAGGAATAAGATACACGGAGAAAACGAAATTTCATTTTTGATTTTGCTCCTAGCTCCCAGAGACGGTAAATAATGCAGGTTGTGAAAGCAACTACAAAGATATGCACAAAAAAATTATCAAGCCACTGTCGTTTTAAATGTGTTTAAATACTTGATACCGGATGTTGGTGCGGTGTCGATGATGAAATTATAGGTTATATTTTTGGAAACATAAAAAGTGTGCATAAGTTTACGCCCTAGAATAAATCTGACTGGAAACAGGTGAATTGTTTATTAAAAGCAGACTAAGAAGGATATAGAGGTAAGATTTTAATGCTGTTAAGTCGTTTGAGCTAGCTGAAAAGCATCTACCTGAGCTGCAAGTTTTTTCTCCATTGTCAAGGGGTAAGATTAAAACAACTCTAAGTATCATAATGTAAGAGGGATTATTCACGAATACTTCGAAAGTATTATACTGGTGAAGAAATAAATCATAGAAAAAAGTCTAATGTTTAAGAACATTTACCAAACATTATTTGATGCAAATGAACAATTTGACTTTGGATCAAGAGATAGAAGTGTAATAATATTATCAGTAGTAGTTAACAATTTCAAACACAGTTCAATGTTGAAACTAGATGCAGTACATAACTAGAATTGGTCATGTGTTCAAGAAATGCTCTAGTAATTGACTTTTATTCACTTTTAGATAGTCAAACAGATTAGTGGCCATATAAAGGTTTGGAATGTGTAGAGTTTGTGCGGTCAGTATAAACCCAACTTTCACATTGAATTAATGATATGCGTTCAAAACCAATTTATGCAAATAACAAAAACATTAATTATATTTTGATAAAATCATTCAATTTACTTACCACTTTGTTCCTAGTGTGAGAAAAAAAATATAACTAGTAATGAAATTTATTAAAAATACAAATAAATTGAACTCACTATAATGTAGATAAGTTTCACTATGAACTGACATCAGCAAGAGAGAAACTAAACATTGTGGAGCACTGAAAATTTATTTCGTCACAGTTTGGAACTTCCTAACTTTGCAGCACAGTGTGAGATTAATTTGCCGAAATTATAATGTTATGCCTTTAATTTTTGGAGTCAATCAATTAGTAAGTAACTCATCGAATCACCGGACATTAAAAATGGATCGCTTTATATCGCAAGTCGACCAAAGTAAAAAAAACTGAATCCTCAAGCTTTTAGTGACTTACAGGAAAGCTTGAGGATCTTGGGTACAATATCTACCTACGGTTGCAGATACGTCTTGATAAATAGTCTTAAGCAAGGATGGCGAGACTATAATTTATGGACGAACCAATCAGATTTGGGATTGCAGGTCTTGGATTTCGACGCGAAATCCACCCACTCATTTGTCTAAATAGCGTTTTGTTATTTTAGCTGATGTCAATTCCTGATAAAAACTATTAATCTGATTCCTAACCTTAACCATCAACAGTAAACCCTAATCCTAATTCCTCATACTGGTTTATAACTCTCATTTAGCTCTAGTAAGTAGGTGGACGTTATCAGGGTCACTTTAACATCTCTCAAAGGTAGTTTGTAAATTATAGTCTTACCATAAGGATATAACTCTCAGTACTCTTTAGTTTTTGTTGGTTCTCGATTAGTCCTGAAACATTATTTTCAAAGCACATAAAATAATATATGCGCACGAACCACCTAAACCAGGTATATTAAAGTGGAATCATTCAACGAAACAATCTGAAATAAAACAATTGGACTATTCTGTAATACTTAATTTATATATTGGGCAGTTAGTCTCATTATCTCGTCATCACAGTCGTTGTAATTATGATAAGAAGTAAGAGAATAAATCTGTGATGTGTTCGTTTTCTTTATTCTATCCACCTTGAACTTAAAGTGAATAAATTGACCTCTATTACAAATGATATATTAAATCTGCTACGTCGAACCTCTCTTAAAAATCTTTCTTTTTAAAATCAGTGAAATTCATACGATCAGCATTGAATAAGTACATCTTGACTAAGTCAAACAAACCGCCTATTGTTTAGACTGAAGATTTAATTTACTCGGTTAGACAAGGCACTGTTGATATTCCTGTAACAATGAGCACTGGATACTGAATTCTCTTCAAATGCAGAGACATTTCTCCCTAACTGGTAACAAGAGAAAAATACTCCTATACAGTTATCTCTTTGTATATTACATAATAAAATAACATATGAATGTAACGAATTGAATATTAACAAATAAATTAAAATATTTAGGAAGCATAATATAATTCATATATCTGCCTATAAAATTAGTCAGAATACACATTTTGTCTCATGTTTAGATGTAAAAATGACCTTTAGGAAACAGGTAATAAGTGATGATAAATTACGAAACAAGAGGTTATCTTGTTATTGTCATAATTTTATCTGTAGAACGTTTATCAGAGGAAGAAAACAAAAATTTCCTTTTCAATGATTTCATAGAAAAATAACTGACACTTTTCCCAATAGAACATAGAATGTTGTGAACAATGAATAGAATTAGCTACTTGACCTCTATAACCTTATTTAAATGTTTTAGTGGTTTCTAACTTATCTCTAGATAGGTTGAAGGCTAAGAGATTTAGTTTTCTAATTGTGTTTTGAATAACATTAGTAAACTAAGATAAATTCATAGTTTACAATACGGACTAATACAACTTAGACGACCATTAAAAACCAGGAATCACTGGACAACTTTGTCTTCCTAGTATGAGACTGCTCAGTAGTACAAACTCACGACCTTATTGGGGAATCGAACCTAGGAATTTCAAAACTATTAGAAACCCCTTGACCTTTAGAACACTAAGCCAAAACCCAACATTCTACATGTCTATTATCACAGATTCTTTTTGTAAAGCATTAAAATGAGACCTTTTTGCTATTTATATTATTTTTAATGCAAATATATATAGTCTCAATTGTTTCAAAACTTGAAAACTTCATTTACATATCCTGTAAACTATAATAAATAATGGTGCAAAACAATCTGGAATATTTACTTTGTAACTCAGATTAAAATTTACTCACCATACATTCTGAGAAAGCACTCGACGGTGACGTTCTACTTCGTCTATGAACTGATTCACGATGCAATGCTGAACATAAGTAGTCGTTTGTTTTGTTTAAACGTTCCATTGTTGTTCTGGATTGACAATAAAATAAAAGACAGGTAAATGAAAAATTTCCTCCTTTTTGGTTGAGTGTAGAATCAGTTCTTAAACAGTCAATAAGAAACGATGAAGTCTTGAAAGCTTAGTTTTTCCTATTCTGGAATTCATCAGTAGTTCATATTTAATAATTATAACCCGTAGGTTCCGTCGGGATAATATTAACTCTCCATTTACTGTGATAAACACCTTTCAACAAAGCATATAATGTTTCCAACTGATAAACCTAAGTAGGTCTTAAGAAATTGGTTAATTAAACAGGATATTTTGGTTAACTTAATAACTGACAACTTTTAGTTTATCTGGGATGTAATGCGTTTCAAGGATAGCGAATAGAACACAAAATAACTAAGTGCCATGTTCACTTCGGCAATTTTTTTATTAACCAGGCAATTGAAATAAGTATTTTAAAGAAATGAAGGGTTATTCAGTCAAAGTTTGATACAAGTGAATTGATTTTCAAACAATTATCACGATTTCGATTGGTAAGACTACTTATATCTTTTTCATACAGTCACAAAAATCGAAAAACATACAATAAGTAGGAATACGTTAGTGAGTAATAAAGAAGTGCCACTTATCAATGAACATGTAACATTTCAAGTTTCTATATCCAACATCAACATAAATTAACAAGATAATAGCTATAGACAAACTGATTGGGGTCCGCGTGATTATTGCAATTAATATTTAGAGACATTGGTTGACATGAATCAGAGTTGTTCACAATTGAGCAGGTGCATACTGGTTTTATCTTCCTCAAGAACTTGAATCTCGAGATCGCTTCATACATAGAATTTTTCTTTTTCAATATCTAACCTTTTCTAGTATTACTGATACTGGTACTACTCTTACTAATCTGGGATTTTTCTTGAAAAAAATTTATATCTTCGTGCTAGCGTGGTGTGTCGACCCGAACAAATGCACATGTGAGTGAGGTTCTGCGTTGCGTAAAACTGACTGAACAATATGATGGGTAGAACAGAAGAAATGATGATATCAAATTGCATAGAAAATTAAATATACGTGAAACATAGTTCAAAAGAAACAAATGAAAGTTATGAAATCATACTAAACTGAAGATTTAGAGGAATAAAAAGAGAATCTAATTGAGGCTGATTTCTAGTCGTGTTACTTAAACTTCCAACTATAAACTGTGACTATTTAACACATTTCATCGAGAACGTTTAAATCTACCCAAACAGTTTGGATCACAAATAAGTACTTCATGGACAGATTCCATATATTTGTATAATAGCTTTTGGTCTTTTATGACTTCCTAACTATTTGACTAGAGTAGAATGTTGAAGTAGGAAAATGACAAAGTGTTTATAAAATAAGCCACTACAACTTAAGTGTATAAAGGTATGCAGCCTACTCGACACATTCGCCACCTATACTTACAACCCCATCCTTAACCTCTGCATTACTGAACTAGTGTTTTTAACACATCCAAGTAATCCTTTATGCATACCTATCGCTGAATACTGGCTAACTATGAACGTTTTCAACCCTCAAAGACCATTTTCCAAAATCATTTAGTAACTTATCATCGTCTTAGCAAAACAGATCTACATTGTCTGCTAAACAGAAGTTGATTATTAAATCTCCAGGTAGGAGATTAGAAATTGGAAACCCGAACAATGAGAATATCACTTATTAAGTTCAGTTTCTAAAATCTAGCTACACCTCTGACATTTTAAACCAGAATACTGAACCATCAATCTCGAGCACCTCATCCAGTATCTCGTTATTTTTATAGCACTGGGTATACAAAAGGGAGACCATGAATTTGATAAAGAAGAGTTACCAACACGAACAGACTGAAATTTAGGTAATAAATAGCTAGATGGTATTTATACGGACATTTGAGAAAGTTAAAAACATACACGGATTATTCATTTTATGAATAATTTGTTGACTGTTCCATTAACTATTGGTATATGAGTTGAATTAAGTTATTCATTTGGACTTATAATTCAACGCTATACACTTATCTATTTGAAGTTACTTCAGATAAACCAGGTATTATACAAAAATTATTATTTCATAATTAAACCATATATATTAAGATATTGTTTGCGTTGTTTGCTTATTCATCCTATCAATTACTATACATAAGAATACGTTTCTTATTTAACTAACAAGACTATAAATCTTCATTAGCTTAAAGTCAATTGAAAACAATAAGTTACATACATGAAATTATACTTGCCTCATAACATTTAATTGAGAATATAGATTTTGTTTCTCTTCTTCTTGACTAATTAATTCATGTTTATCCCTTGAAATAAATAAAAAAGAATAAATAACATTTTCAGATTAATTCTCATTAGGAAATAATATCGAATCATTAAGCATGTATTTATTTATTCTAATTTTAGATTTCTTTGCAATGCCTTCACTTCATATGTAATTGAAGTTAAGATTCACTTAGCATTGTTTGTTTGAATCTTCCCATTGATGTTTAGGACTACAACTGGTCAGTTTCTAATTGGCATATGTGAATACTGTTTGTATTGCCTCGATATGGCCTTATTTCACAAGCAGTGCAAGCAAAGATGGATAGTTGCTAGCGACTGACGAGTCCGAAATAGGACGAAACGCTCGTCCTGGATTCTACTGCTAGCGACTATCCATCTTCGCCCACTGAATTTAAGATGTTTGTCATTAAATAGGAATAATGTATTTTTAAAATCTCAACGAATGAATTTGAAGTAAATCCAACCTGGCGCCCAAATACTGTGAAACTATTCACTCTAATTTAGACGAAAGTTCTTATATATTAGGATGTTTGTATTAGATAGAATTGTTTAATTATCATAAATTTTTATGAAGTCTACAAAATTGAAGCATTAAATGATTTCCATCGATAAAACTCTGATACTTAGATGTTTATTGACTTTAATCAAAGGCTCAATTGATTACCAACTTCATATATGTCATCGTTACGTAAGACTTGTTTCTTTAAGTATATAACAATCAAAGGTACATACATCTGTACATAAGTATAAAATCTTACAATCCATTCAAATAAACCTATATAATATTAAATTAATTGGAATATATGTTTGTAAAAGACATAAAATATAAATGATTACATTGTTAATTGTGCTTCTTGTTGAATTAACTGATCTTTCAATGTTTTCAATTCAAATTCTCTTTGAGCTAGAATCGATAAAACATTTTGTAATTCAATTTTATATGAATCTTGTTCTAAACTTTCATTTTTATTTTGATTAAGATATTCATAATGTAAAGAAATGACAGAAGATTTTGAATCTGTTAAATAATTATTTGATATATCAATTGAATCTGTAAATTTTTTTGGTATAATAGGACTATTCATTGAATCACAACAATTAAAGTTATGATGTTTAATTTTCTATACGGATAAATGTAAAATAAAACAAAATTTCAAGCGGGAACTTTAAAAAAAATTAATCAAAAAAAAAATCTCATAAATTGTTAAACATATTAAATGAACTTGTAGCTAGACTCATTCTAAACATTCTATCGATTCAATAAACACTGCATCAAAGAGAATCCATGAAAAAAATATTTATATTTGTTGTATCCTGAAGAGAATTGTGAATGGTAACTTTTGAGGACTATTTATAGATCAATATGATATGTATATTTCCTATTGTATAATTATTAAGTAACTAAACTATTCATATTCGTGTTCCTCTTATCATAAGCTTTATTTTGACCTATGAATTATTATTATACAATTTACCATTCTTGAGTTATCCCCAGTCTATTGATTACTGTTTCCCCTATTCACAGCCACATTTGGTCAAATCTTGTACAAATGTTATATTCTATTTTATTTGTACGATATGGTCAGTCTGTTTGGTATATAAACTCAGTATGTTTGAAATATAAGGATTTATACCACAGAGGCTGTTATTGGTGTTCTGGACTTAACTGGCTGGGCTAGGCTGAAAGCAGGACCGATACGTATTCTAGACTGCTCGTACGGTTTTCCTGTGTCACTAGTCCAATCGATAATTCGCTGCTCTCTGATTGGCGGTTTTATCACGTCATACATTAACTAAACATCCACTCGGTCACAAGATATAACAATATTTTACAAGAAATTCAACTGAGAGATAATGAAAACGATTTATTTAATAAAAAAAGATCTCTTTGTAGACTGAATTAAAATTCTATATTATAACATATATTAAATTTCAATAGATGAGATCATGAGTCAATTGAAGCTAGAACACCATGGAAAACCTGGAAGCACTGAACGGCCAACTCGTCCTATTGTGGGACTTCTCAGCAGTGTGCATCTTTGATTTCGCCTCTCGAGACTAGAACCAAGGACCTATCACTCTCGCGCGCGAGTGCCTAACCTCTAAACCACTGAGCCGGCGCCCAACAGTGTTGATGTCTAACTTCAACCGATCCATGAAATTGAGCAACACTTACACCATTGTCTTCAGTGAGTTATTATCTCACAACAGACTCGGTTGAACTCCATTGATCACTGCTTCTAACTAGAACTCCAGGAAATACCTCTTGAAGCCAATCACTAGTAAGTATATGTTGATTCATGATCTCAACTATTGAAATTACTATAATATCTACAAAACCCTTTTTCTTATATTAAATTTGTTCAGATTTCTACCTAAAACTGAATAATAAGATATTCGTTACGATTGTCCCAATTATCCAGTCCTTGAAACAGAATTTATGTCATCAATCAACTTAATGTTGATTTACAAATTAAAAGAAAATGAGAAAATCATTCAGTATCTATAAAATAATTACCAATATTGTGAAATATTGAATGATATTAGAAGTTTGAAACTTTTAATCTATTTCTAGAAAACAAAAATATCATTTGGTATCCATTAAGTGAGATTGATTAACAACCAAATAATGATCCATGGAGATGAATTAAAAACGTGATTTTAAAGTGAATTCAAAATAGAAGATTATAGATAACTGATATGAAATTATGTAAAATAAATTAAAAAAGAGTTTTGCTAATATTGAAAGTAGAACAACTATAAAGTAAGAAAAGGTCTGATAAGTTCAATGATTGTACTATATACCCCATATATTAAGAAAAACGTTTATAGATACAAATAATTAAGAGTGCACAATAATTAAAGCTCAGATAAGTTAATAATGGCCAATTATGAATATTCAAGCATTATTGAGGGTGCTAATATGTGGTGTATGCCACTTATGTTGACAGGTATAAGCAGCATGTAGCACCAGTTGAATTTGGAATGCCTCCGATCAGGAGGTTGAACAGAATGAAATGAAGAGAAGAGAGAAGGAAACGGAAAGCAGTTTAGATAACAACAGGGATGAAGAAACAATAAAGCTTGTAGAAGACAATTTAAAAATGTGCAAATGATGTATTTGATGTATGATTTTCATATTTTACCAAACCATTGTATGATTGTGCATTAAACAATAAATTGGTTTCCCCCACCAACTTTTCCCTCGCTACAAATACACCACTTGAGACAAAAATCGATGGGAAATCTCTTATATGAATCAACCATAGGAAAAAAACTCCAGTAATTTAAGATCTTAATTCTATCATATTCAAGCTGAAACGAATTCAAACGTATTATAACAATAATTAATTATTATTACTATAATAGATAATACTCGTACACGCTGTAAAGTTTCAACTTGCTCCCGTATTTCTGTAATTTCTTGTTCTTTGTTAGAGACCAGTGTTCTATACTCACTTTGTAACTTCTCATGAACCTGAAAAACACCATACAGCAAAACGATGTAAAACGAATTCGGTTAAAATAAAGATATATATATATATATACGGAAATTGGTGCTAGAAAAAGACAATGATCCAGTCCATGTCCACATCAAATGGTTTCAACCATAAACCTCTACAGAAATCTACCCCATGAAATTATCAATTTGACAAAAAACAACCATAGAGCAATATAGCTATTGTATCTCAATTCAAAATAAATAAAGCACACATCTTTTAAATTTACCAATGTACAATTTTTTTTACTTTTGCCCAAAATAACTGTTTGAACATAGAACGAATGATGCGGGAATTTACTTTCCACTACGAAGTAATATTTATCATAGAATAAATATACGTAGAAAGTCAATAGAAGACTGATCCACTTTTAGAAAGATAATGAAATCAGTTGGAGTGTTCTACTTTCACTTGGAAATAGAAGTAATAAACTGTAATAAAAATATCGGACAACTTTCAAGAATTTTGCAACAACTATTACATTGAGTAAATTCAATTGGTATTGTTTGGTTGAACCTTCCCATTGATGTTTAGGACTGAAATTGATCATTCTGTTATTGAAATATGTGCATACTGTGCGCATTGCGTCGATATAGCCTTAATTCACAAGCATTATAGACAGAGAAGGATAGTCACTAGCAGTGGAATCCAGAACGCGCGTTTTGTCCTATTTGGGTGAGTGGATAACGCGATGACGTTTGAAGCAAACGGTACTGGTTTCAAGTTCCAGAGTGAACATCGACTCTGTGATGCAGGTACATCCAGCTGACGAGTCCCTAAATAAGACGAAACGCACGTCCTGGATTCCACTGCTAGACACTATCCAACTCTGCTTATTATTACATCGATTATTAAGGTATCGTTGAAAAATGTCATAGATTTCTATAACTATCACATTCATATTTATTCGAATTGTTTTGTTATTATTGTCATATCTATAAACTGATTGTAAGAAATCCTCCATAATGTCCATATATTGTTATTTCACGTATATTACCACCGAAATTCAACATAGTTTACTTTCGTATTTCTATGTTGACTACTTACAAAGTAGTTAACACAATATCTGGTATTTTTGTTGTCCACTGATATAAATTTTTGTAAAAAAATTTATTAATCTGCTGAATATTGTGGCTGATATCAGTGATTAGCTCATTCAAATTGAAAGATTACCAAACTATCTTACGATAGCAAGTTTCTAACTTAAATCTAACCAAATTCCACTATCCAAGAATAAATTGTTTTCCTAATATAATTGGCTTTTGAATCTTAGTAAAACCAATAATAATGACAATTCAACTAGAATTTTCTTAATAGATTTTTTTGTCATTTATTTTCTAAGTATCTCTGGCAATAAATAATTGCAAATATCAGTTTGAAATTTACTAACATCAAAATTAACGAGAACAACTAAGTTACGGTATAATAAGAAGCTTACTTCTGATTTGGCACGTTCCTCTATTGATTTAATCTGTAATTCAAGTTCACCTTCTAATCTAGATAAATCACTTCTACGTTTCTCCTTCTCTCTGTCATGATCAAATAGAAAAACAAATAAAAAATCAAGCGAAATATGTAAACATTTAGCTTTTGGTAGAGAACTAAAATAATAAATCTAATGTATGAAAGACTAATATGGTGTTTCCAATTTTTTAAAGAATCAAGATATTGATCTAAAGAAGCATTAACAATATCTCAAAATCAGTAGAAACTAACTAGCACTGGACAATTAGTTCTGCTCTATGATTCACACTAGCACTCAAAATCAATCTAATATACAATCGCACTATATAAATCTGGGAAGGTCACATCTTGAAACGATAGACATTTTACTGAGCTATAGTGTTTGAATTAAGTAAATAGCGAATTCCAGTTAGAACCGATTTTAAAGATGGAGAAACTGATCACAAACCTTAATGCTGTATGATATCAGCAGTACTCAGAAAGTGGGAATAAACAACAACTCATATTTTCCACTGATGTTTAAGCTAGAGCTTATTTAAACTATTCACTTTGATAAGCACTGTCATTACGTCTTGCCATCAGAGCATATCAGAGTTTGGTCGTCATTGAGTTATATGGCCTAAGGCAATAAAGTTTTATTTATAATGTGAGACAAATGAAGTAAGTTCATAAAATATTATAGACCCTGATGGCATTCATCGGTGAGAAACATTTGAAATATATTCAGCTATAGTAATTAATAACTATGATTTAGATTTAAGATGAATTACACACTTTTCCATCATATTACTGACAAATACTTTTAAAATCCTTTTTCAGGGCTCCCTTTTAGGGTTAACACTCGCGAAGAACAAATTCATACGCATACACATGGTAGATAAATTAAAGTTATATGTATAAACCGGTTAGTTAAGAGATTGAAGTTTAAGAATCTTGTTTTTTTTAATGAAATTAAACCCTTACTGATCTATACTCGAAATTTAACAGAAGTGTGAAACATATTACTTATAAACAGTTATTAATTTTTTCCCAATTGACAATGTTAACTAAATGAACAACTGTGAGGTGCCTGAACAATTATTTAAAAAGTTAATATGGATGGTATCACTTTTGCTCTTTAAAAAAGTGATTTATTATTATTAAAAAAAACAAGAATAAGCAACATTTTCATATTAAAAACAGGACATCAATGTAAACTACTGAAATATTTTTATGATTAGAAAAGGTAAATAGAAAACTTGACAGGAATTAAAAAGAAGGGTAATAAATGCAACGTAATAAAAATTAATAATATAATGCGGAAATATTTGACAATTTAGTAGAGTAAATTTATCAAATTTTTTCTAGTGAAGATTAGACATGCAAGACATAAATAGACATTTGAATAGAAAGAAAAATAGATTAACCATTTGTCATTGTCATTTATTAAACTAAAAATGAGTAACAAATATAAAGGTTACTTCTGTTATAAACTAATGGCAGTAGAATGATAAACTGTTATTTTAAAATTAGCGAGTAGTTACTAAACCATCACGATTACATAATTTTATGAATTCTAAAACGTAAAATGTAGTTGTTTAGACATTAAATAGGAATAATATATTTGTAAAATCTCAGCGAATGAATTTTTTAAATTAAATCCAACGTTTCGCCTGGCAATCTGGTCCAAGCTTTTTCAAGGAATTATAATCAAACATCAAAATTATCGAATATAAATAGGTACATGGTTCTCCGAGTTCATTATACACTGAATAGGTCATCCAATCAACGTTAACAATAAGTCTAAACTAGGTATGTTTAAGAGATGTGTGATGTGAAGTGATGAGTGTTCATATAACATAATTGTATAGAAAAATGTAATAGGTGAGAGGTGAAAATTACATTCACAATAGATATTGTCTCTTATCAATGAATTTATAAGGAAACATACAATTTGTAATATATATGATATGAATCATATCTGTCCCTGTATGTATAACATGAAGATAATTAAACAAAATAAAATAAAAATATAAAATTGGGATGGAATGTACGAATCCCTATGACTTCTGCTATATGAAGTAGACGGGAGCGAACTCCGTTGGGAAACGATGGAGGTATACGATAGATCACTTGAAATGATTTCAATTTATCAATTTATCTGCCTGCCAATACACTCACTTCTATAGCTTTACACCTATCCAATATAAGAGAAACTTGGTTAAATGCCTCACTAGTAGAGCAAATAAGATCTGTTCTGTTGATACTTTAAGTCAGGAACTGGAATTTATCTATAACTCACTGACTGAGATCGGCTACCCTGCTGCGTTCATCAAAAAGTACATGTATGATACAAGGAAGAAATCGGAGATTTTAACTGTTCGTAAGAAGCCTCTATACATAAAATTACCATTCAACGGGGATGTAGCTAGTGAAACTCTGAAAGATAGGTTAACAAAAGTAATTAGTAGAACTTTCTACGCAGCCTATCTTACATTGACTTTCTCGAGTCGACCAGTGATGTCTACTCAAACGAAGGATAAGTTACCTGAGTTGGCCTCCTCCATGTGCATTTATAAGTTCAGCTGCTCCTGTGGAGATAGCTATATCGGGCGTACTACTAGGCAACTTAACCAACGAATGAGTGAACATCTACCAGCATGGTTTGGAAAGGGCCAAATAAAAACAATACGCAGTTCTATCTTGGCACATCTAATTGATAGTGGTCATACTGTTGATAAATTGAAATCATTTCAAGTGATCTATCGTATACCTCCATCGTTTCCCAACGGAGTTCGCTCCCGTCTACTTCATATAGCAGAAGCCATAGGGATTCGTACATTCCATCCCAATTTATGTGTACAGAAGAAATTCGTAACCCCCCTATCCCTTCCATGGCCGGACATAACTTAATAATTGACATTATTATTATTTGTAAAAAAATTTTTTTTATTTTTTTATTTATTTTGGTTATCATTTTTTGTTTGTTTGTAATTTTCTACCTCTTTCCGTTTGTATTCTTCACTATCTATTTACTTACATACTTCTTATTACGTAATGATTTTGTGATTACTATTCCAGACTATTTACCCACGTTTGACCTCTTAATTCTTATGTTTAATTATTGATAAGACTTTTGTTATCGTAATTTACTATTCTTACTACTATCAGTACACCTGTCTTCCCACTATCAACTTGTACTTTTAACTATTATTATGCTTGGTAACGTATTTCTATTTCATTGTGATTATTATTGACTCAAATAACCTTGATTGGTCTAACATTTTTATATAAATATTCATGTATATTAGAGTAAAGCCTGATGACGATCTAATTGAAAACAATTGTTCGCTTACATATGTTGTTCTAATTTTCACAATGGGAATCTTTAATATTCAAAAATATAAAAGGTGAAATTTGAAGAGCGTAATTTTGACTGTATGTATGTGTCATTTTTAATGTTCCAATGAATTGTTTAACAAATTCCGATAAGATAAAAGATTAGAATCATTGAGTGTAATTGTTGTCATTTTAGATAATACGAATTCGATAAAAACATTAAGGAGTTCAGGTTGTTACTTATTAATGATTAGCTGCCATGGCACTGCTAATTGTATTCCATCCCTCCTATTGATATTATTTGGATTAGCCCAAATGTATAGGGCTTCAGCTGTTTGTCTCTCCTTGTAAGAATTAAAAGCTTTTTGAAGGATTCTTGTGCCATCGAAATCAATTGTATGACCTGATTCTAACGAATGTAATGCTATCGCTGATTTGTTCTCCAATTTCCTTACATCATCTGAGGATTTAGGAATATGTTTCAAACATTGTTTGTGTTCCTTCACCCTCACATTCAGTTGTCTTGATGTTTCACCTACATATGTTGCATTACAATCCCTACATTTGATTTCATAGACACAATTTTGTTGTTCTTCTTTATGTATTGGATCTTTAATTCTTACTAATTTTGATTTTAGAGTATTGTTTGTTCGAAAAAATACTCTTATATTTTGATTATTTAAGATTCTTCGAATATTCGAATATTAATAGGAGGGATGGAATACAATTAGCAGTGCCATGGCAGCTAATCATTAATAAGTAACAACCTGAACTCCTTAATGTTTTTATCGAATTCGTATTATCTAAAATGACAACAATTACACTCAATGATTCTAATCTTTTATCTTATCGGAATTTGTTAAACAATTCATTGGAACATTAAAAATGACACATACATACAGTCAAAATTAAGCTCTTCAAATTTCACCTTTTATATTTTTATTTTATTTTGTTTAATTATCTTCATGTTATACATACAGGGACAGATAGGATTCATATCATATATATTACAAATTGTATGTTTCCTTATAAATTCACTGATAAGAGACAATATATCATGTGAATGTAATTTTTATCCTCTCATCTCTTACGTTTTCTATACAATTATGTTATATGAACACTCATCACTTCACATCACACATCTCTAAAAGATACCTAGTTTAGACTATTGTTAACGTTAGCAGAGATGGATAGTGGCTAGCAGTGGAATCCAGGACGCGCGTTTCGTCCTATTTGGGACTCGTCAGCTGGATGTGCCTGCATCTCAGAGTTGATGTTCACTCTGGGATCCATCTCTGCTAACCATGCTTGTGAATTAAGGTATATCGAGGCAATACGCACAGTATGCACATATGCCAATTAGAGACTGACCAGTTGCAGTCCTAACAAATCGATGGGAAGATTCAAACAAACAATACTAAGTTGAATTTATTGTTAACGTTGATTGGATGACCTATTCAGTGTATAATGAACTCGGAGAACCATGTACCTATTTATATTCGATAATTTTGATGTTTGATTATAATTCCTTGAAAAAGCTTGGACCAGATTGCCAGGCGAAACGTTGGATTTAATTTAAAAAATTCATTCGCTGAGATTTTACAAATATATTATTCCTATTTAATGTCTTACTTCAACTCGGCGCTCAAATACTGTGAAACTATTCGTTCTAATTTAGACGAGAGTTCTTATATGTAGTTGTTTAGGTTTTGGGCAATTTTTACATTTTCATTAAAACCCCTAAAAA